TGTAAATATATAGCTCTTAAAATAGCACTTTCTCTGTAACTAGCTGACATTGTAACTATAAGGTGTGAAGGATATATGAAATTGCTTATGTAATAATCTAAGATGAGGTCTGATAAAGACCTTTTGTACCCTCTGTAATGCTTTTGCGCTACCGCTCACAGGATGAGTATGGGGTGCACAATAAACTAGCCGCCTTCGGCGGCAACAATCAATCAAATGCACATCCTCTCATGTGTACTCTATATATTTAGAACTCTGAACCGTACTAAAATATGTCCAGTTTATATCTATTCTATCTGAACAATGCTGCAGAACAATTCTCACCTTAAAAGCGTCTTAGAAGGTTGTAACAGAACCCATAGGCACCACACTAGAAACAAATTATTTGATATTCCAGGAGTACGACTTAATCAAACTAGGAATGCTCTACAAATCGGGGGACCCAGAATGTGGAAATGACCTTCCCAATCAAGTCAAAGGCTGTACCTCTTTCAACCAGTTTAAGATGAAAACTAAGTACTACCTAATTAACTCCATGTAACCTACCTCACCCCTAAATGTTAACCCATGTCTTACTATTTTTAAACAATGCTGTTTGTTGACCAACTTGTATATTGGCTATTTTCTACCATGTCCCCCCCCCCTTTTTTTATCTTTTAATTTTTCTTTCAATCGAATTTATAATTTAAAAAACTTAATTACTATTAAGTTTTAGTTTAAGTCTTTTGTTTTCTTCCACACCTTGCCCGAAACGCTAAGCGTATTAGTGGCTTTAGGTATTTGTATGTACAGCTCTGTCTATAAATAATAAGAATATTTGTAACTGCTTAGTGCTGAGTTATGCTTGGCGACCAGATTTCTCAGTGTGTGCAGTTTTAAGAGAGTTCACAGTGTATTAATTACGGACGTGGATATGTTTTATGAAGAGCATTGCTCCTTATTTTTACTGATTTTCACTGTGTCATCCTTTCAGTCTTCTCATATTCTTTTTCAAATAAAGTTTACTTACTATTTCTACCAGCATTGCTTCACACTACATATATATATTAATAAACTTTCAAATTCTTTACAACTGCTGAACTGAACTGCAGTTCAGTTCAGTTTCTTTCTTTTCAATATCAGTGTGAAGCAATGCTGGTGGAAACCGTAATTAAACTTTATTTGAAACAGAATATGAGAAGACTAAAACATGACACAGTGAAAATCAGTAAAAATAAGAAGCAATGCTCTTCATAAAACATATCCACGTCCGTAATTAATACACTGTGAACTCTCTTAAAACTGGGCACACTGAGAAATCTGGTCACCAAGCATAACTCAACACTAAGCAGAAACTAGGTGAGTCTGGTTGACTTTTGTTATGTTTTACATTGCTAACAGTTTTACATTGAATGGAATTTATATTAGGGTGAGAGGAGAGGGCAGGTGACACCGGATGTGTGGAAAGCATGTCACATTGATGGAGTGAGCTAAGATTTGAAAACACAAGTTGGGTGATGTGTGAGTTTGTACAGACTCGGGAGAAATGGTCACCACATACGAGGTTCTCAAAGGAAATGATAGGTTAGGTAAACACAGTTTATTTATCGAAAGACATCCTGTGCAGCAGAGATTCCCTTTGATGGTGTGAAACATATTTGTTGACTGTGCGCATGTCAGTGAGAATTAAGATAAGCAAGGATGTTTCAGAGTGAAATTTTAGTCGAGGAATGATACAAAGAACGATTATTGACTTGTGAGAGAAAAAGAAGAAATCCGCATGAGATATATGGTGTGTTCACACTGTTAACAAACAAATATTAGAATTTGTAGGTAGCGATCACGTCTCCCCAGACTGAATTGGGGTTAAACTACTACCCAACGTTGTCTCACCTAGCGAAAGTGTTAAAAAATATACAGAAAAAACTCATATTAGTTGAAAAAAGGAGAGCAACAATTAACCTGTGTAACTATGTTAAGTTGTGATGGTGAATAAAAAATAATCTGTTTCATTGCTCCGCCATGATACACAGCGAAAATGGAAAGATGTAGACTACATGATCCCTCATTTATCTGTATAATGAATGACCGGTGCATCTGTACCCCTTTAATGACTTAGCTGGCCGGGCAGACATAACATTTTTAAAAAGAATGAATTGCTGGGAGGAGGTTGGACCACAAGTGTTGCTGACGTGGCCTGCCATCTCAGCGATTCGGTTAGACACTGTTTATGCTGAGTTTGGAAGTACATAGGACCTTTAAACTATGCTAGCTTGAAAGTGGAAAACTTCAACTATGATGAAAAAACACACGGTAATATTATTGGTATGCTGATAAAAATGTAAACGGACTAAACTCAACTCTACTTTTTTTTTTAACTGTGTAAGCTTTGTAGGACTGGTGAATGCACCGCTGTGACTGATTCCTCGAATAGAGCAGACAGGTTGACTGGTGGTGCTAACGAGGCTGAAATGACAGCCAATGCCTAGAGCTGACGATCGCCTGGTCCTAGTGAGACAGAATGACGGACAGACAGCGCTAACGCCCAAGGTGCTTAGTAAGGTATTAATATTGCAAACTATGTTGGCTTGAAAGTTATATAAAGTATTACAAGGACTAAACAGTTACACATTAATAATTATATTGTGTTGGATGTAGTGGAGATGGAGATTGACTAGATACACTTTACATTTCAAAGTGATATTTATTTTGGACAGCAGAAAAACCTGATTTTTGCATTACGTTACATTGAGTGTGTTACAAGGAGTATCAGTCATGCAGTAATATTTTATTTGTTGTTGGATGCAATGGAGCTGGGCTAGACACTTTACATTTCAAATGGATATTTTTGGACAGCAGAAAAGTCTGGAGAGAGAAGCGGAGTAAATACCTGCTTCAAACTAATTTTGGATGTTAGTGAATAATGTTTTGGATAATGTTCACCTTAGAGTAAGTCTGGAACTATTCGTATTCTCTGCCTTCCGCAGTTACTGCGGAAGGCAGAGAATAGCCATAGTTCCATGAGCATAGCATTTTAAGCATAGCATGAGAATAGCCGTATGAGCCATAATTCTTGGGCATAGCATTTTATCAAATCACCTCATTCTTTGTGGCACACGTGAGGAACACAAATGCGAACAGGCCTGAATGGTCCCCAGGACTATATGCAACTGAAAACTCACACCCCAGAAGTGACTCGAACCCATATTACCAGGATCAACGCAACTGGTATGTACAAGACGCCTTAATCCACTTGACCATCATGACCGGAAATAAGGAAGTGTAAATAGTGTCGGGGATTTCCGACACATCTGATACCCTCCACACACACCTAACACTTTCAACATGTCTTCGAAACTCTCAACAAATACACAACAATCGGTCCCAGTACTTGGTCCCAGTACTTGGTCCCAGTACTTGGTCCCAGTACTTGGTCCCAGTACTTGGTCCCAGTACTTGGTCTCAGTACTTGGTCCTAATACTTGGTTCCAGTACTTGGTCCCAGTACATGGTCCCAGTACTTGGTCTCAGTACTTGGTCCCAGTACTTGGTCCCAGTACTTGATCCCAGTACTTGGTCCTAATACTTGGTTCCAGTACTTGGTCCCAGCACTTGGTCCCAGTACATGGTCCCAGTACTTGGTCCTAATACTTGGTTCCAGTACTTGGTCCCAGTACATGGTCCCAGTACTTGGTCCTAATACTTGGTTCCAGTACATGGTCCCAGCACTTGGTCCTAATACTTGGTTCCAGTACTTGGTCCCAGTACATGGTCCCAGTACTTGGTCCTAATACTTGGTTCCAGTACTTGGTCCCAGTACATGGTCCCAGTACTTGGTCCTAAAACTTGGTTCCAGTACTTGGTCCCAGTACATGGTCCCAGTACTTGGTCTCAGTACTTGGTCCCAGTACTTGGTCTCAGTACTTGGTCCCAGTACTTGGTCCTAATACTTGGTTCCAGTACTTGGTCCCAGCACTTGGTCCCAGTACATGGTCCCAGTACTTGGTCTCAGTACTTGGTCCCAGTACTTGGTCCCAGTACATGGTCCCAGCACTTGGTCCCAGTACATGGTCCCAGTACTTGGTCCCAGTACTTGGTCTCAGTACTTGGTCCCAGTTCTTGGTCCCAGTACTTGGTCCCAGTACTTGGTCCCAGTACTTGGTCCCAGTACTTGGTCCCAGTACTTGGTCCCAGTACTTGATCTCAGTACTTGGTCCTAATACTTGGTCCCAGTACTTGGTCCCAGCACTTGGTCCCAGTACATGGTCCCAGTACTTGGTCTCAGTACTTGGTCCCAGCACTTGGTCCCAGTACTTGGTCCCAGCACTTGGTCCCAGTACTTGGTCTCAGTACTTGGTCCTAATACTTGGTTCCAGTACTTGGTCCCAGTACTTGGTCCCAGTACTTGGTCTCAGTACTTGGTCCTAATACTTGGTCCCAGTACTTGGTCCCAGCACTTGGTCCCAGTACATGGTCCCAGTACTTGGTCTCAGTACTTGGTCCCAGCACTTGGTCCCAGTACTTGGTCCCAGTACATGGTCCCAATACTTGGTCCCAGTACTTGGTCCCAGTACATGGCCCCAGTACTTGGTCCTAATACTTGGTTCCAGTACTTGGTCCCAGCACTTGGTCCCAGTACTTGGTCCCAGTACTTGGTCCCAGTACATGGCCCCAGTACTTGGTCCCAGCACTTGGTCCCAGGACTTGGTCCCAGTACTTGGTCCCAGTACATGGCCCCAGTACTTGGTCCCAGTACTTGGTCCCAGTACTTGGTCCCAATACTTGGTTCCAGTACTTAGTCCCAGCACTTGGTCCCAGTACTTGGTCCCAGTACTTGGTCCCAGTACATGGTCCCAGTACTTGGTCCCAGTACTTGGTCTCAGTACATGGTCCCAGTACATGGTCCCAGTACTTGGTCCCAGGACTTGGTCCCCGTACTTGGTCCCAATACTTGGTTCCAGTACTTGGTCCCAGTACTTGGTCACGGGGCTACTCGCAGAAAGTAAAATATAGACAAATGTTTATTGATTCTCATACTGTTGGGCGAGGCGTGTCTTGGAAGTGGAACAGTAGACTTGCGGCTGCTGTGAGGGAAGGACACGCTGGTGCGGCTGCTGTGAGGGAAGGACACGCTGGTGCGGGTGCTGTGAGGGAAGGACACGCTGGTGCGGCTGCTGTGAGGGAAGGACACGCTGGTGCGGCTGCTGTGAGGGAAGGACAGGCTGGTGCGGCTGCTGTGAGGGAAGGACACGCTGGTGCGGCTGCTGTGAGGGAAGGACACGCTGGTGCGGCTGCTGTGAGGGAAGGACAGGCTGGTGCGGCTGCTGTGAGGGAAGGACACGCTGGTGCGGCTGCTGTGAGGGAAGGACACGCTGGTGCGGCTGCTGTGAGGGAAGGACAGGCTGGTGCGGCTGCTGTGAGGAAAGGACACGCTGGTGCGGCTGCTGTGAGGGAAGGACACGCTGGTGCGGCTGCTGTGAGGGAAGGACACGCTGGTGCGGCTGCTGTGAGGGAAGGACACGCTGGTGCGGCTGCTGTGAGGGAAGGACACGCTGGTGCGGCTGCTGTGAGGGAAGGACACGCTGGTGCGGCTGCTGTGAGGGAAGGACACTCTGGTGCGGCTGCTGTGAGGGAAGGACACGCTGGTGCGGCTGCTGTGAGAGAAGGACACGCTGGTGCGGCTGCTGTGAGGGAAGGACACGCTGGTGCTGCTGCTGTGAGGGAAGGACAGGCTGGTGCGGCTGCTGTGAGGGAAGGACAGGCTGGTGCGGCTGCTGTGAAGGAAGGACACGCTGGTGCGGCTGCTGTGAGGGAAGGACACGCTGGTGCGGCTGCTGTGAGGGAAGGACAGGCTGGTACGGCTGCTGTGAGGGAAGGACACGCTGGTGCGGCTGCTGTGAGGGAAGGACACGCTGGTGCGGCTGCTGTGAGGGAAGGACACGCTGGTGCGACTGACATCATGAGTTACCAGTATAACACAACTCTTCTGCTACTGCTTACTGTCCTCAGTGAGGTCTGCTCAGACACCATAACTTCCCAGAGGTTGATGTGGTACCCGGTCAGGGTGCACAACGCCACCTTGGGCGACCCGGCGCATTTCGTGAAGACTGTTACTGCTGAAAGTTTGGTTCACTGTGCCGTCATGGCCAGCCAGACGTCTCCCATCTCCATATTCTGCTACACCCGCCCCACCTGTAACATCCACAGTCTCCAGATCAGCACGTACATCGGCCCGAATTCTGACAGGAGCACCACCAACAACTGCTTCACCTCCGTCCAGCCAGGTTAGCTTTCATGTGCTTATCATCAGTTTGTACTGTACAGGGAGAAGGCAGATGACAGAAGACACATCTAGCACTGCTACAGTCTTAACCGCTACATGAAACATGTAGCTTCATGTATTACTGTATTTTCATGTATTGCTTCCCTATTACTGTTTTGTTTGTGTTTTTCTTGATGGTCTTCGCTGCTCACTTCCTGTATTACCTGCTGTCTTGTCTGCACTACCCACAGCATCGCTGGCTACGTAGAACCTTCCCATAATCACGATAAAGCCACCTGGCCTACAATAATATTGTCTAGTGTTAGGGGAAACATCAATAAAAAACCACCAGTTTACTGGGGCATATCTACACATGACACCGTAACACACACACACACACACACACACACTTATATATATATATGTATATGAATGAAAACTCACACCCCAGAAGTGACTCGAACCCATACTCCCAGAAGCAACGCAACTGGTAACTACAGGGCGCCTTAATCCGCTTGACCATCACGGCCGTCAAAGGAAGTGATAGCCGAGGCTATTTGAGCCACTTCCCCGACGGCAACTCGGATGGTAATCTTGGGCATAGCATTTCACCAAATCACCTCATTCTTTGGGGCACACGTGAGGAACACAAATGCGAACAAACTCACTTCTGGGGTGTGAGTTTTCATTCGCATATAGTCCATATATAGTTTCATTCGCATTTGTGTTCCTCACGTGTGCCCCATATATATATATATATATATATATATATATATATATATATATATATATATATATATATATATATATATATATATATATATGTCGTACCTAGTAGCCAAAACGCACTTCTCAGCCTACTATGCAAGGCCTAATTTGCCTAATAAGCCAAGTTTTCATGAATTAATTGCATTTCGACTACCTAACCTACCTAACCTAACCTAACCTAACTATAAAGATAGGTTTTATCTACGTTAATATATCTACGTTAATTTTAACTCCAATAAAAAAAATTGACCTCATACATAATGAAATAAGTAGCTTTATCATTTCATAAGAAAAAAATTAGAGAAAATATATTAATTCAGTAAAACTTGGCTTATTAGGCAAATCGGGCCTTGCATAGTAGGCTGAGAAATGCGTTCTGGCTATTAGGTACGACATATATATATATATATATATATATATATATATATATATATATATATATATATATATATATATATATATATATATATATATACATACCTTTAGACAACCACACACAGCAGGAGACTCGAACCCTGGCCATCAAGATTGCAGGTACGCACTTGTATCCACTACACCATACTCAGATCCCTAAATAGGCACTGATTATGGTGGGTGTGATTGTTTAGAGTTCTATACTTCAAAACTTGTGGTTTAAAGCAAGTATGTGCATTAAGTATGGACACTGTGTTCTCCAATATAACAGGGCTTAATGGAAAACGTGAGTGATCCCTCACAGTCTCATTGCCTGGAGAGGTGAGGATACCTGGGAGTTAAATACCCCAGAATTCCTGTCTCTTTAGGGCTCTGAGTATGGTATAGTGGATACAAGTGCGTACTTGCCATCTTGATGGCCAGGGTTCGAGTCTCCTGGTGAGTGTCGTTGTCTAAAGTTCTATACTTCAAATACTTCAAAACTTGTGGTTTAAAGCAAGTCAGTGCATATATATATATATATATATATATATATATATATATATATATATATATATATATATATATATATATATATATATATATATATATATATATATATGTCGTACCTAGTAGCCAGAACGCACTTCTCTGCCTACTATGCAAGGCCCGATTTGCCTAATAAGCCAAGTTTTCATGAATTAATGTTTTTTCGACTACCTAACCTACCTAACCTAACCTAACCTAACTTTTTCAGCTACCTAACCTAACCTAACCTATAAAGATAGGTTAGGTTAGGTAGGGTTGGTTAGGTTCGGTCATATATCTGCGTTAATTTTAACTCCAATAAAAAAAATTGACCTCATACATAATAAAATGGGTAGCTTTATCATTTCATAAGAAAAAATTAGAGAAAATATATTAATTCAGGAAAACTTGGCTAATTAGGCAAATCGGGCCTTGAATAGTAGGCTGAGAAGTGCGTTCTGGCTACTAGGTACAACATATATATATATATATATATATATATATATATATATATATATATATATATATATATATATATATATATATATATATATATATATATATATGTCGTACCTAGTAGCCAGAACTCACTTTTTGGCCTACTATTCAAGGCCCGATTTGCCTAATAAGCCAAGTTTTCCTGAATTAATATATTTTTTCTAATTTTTTTTTCTTATGAAATGATAAAGCTACCCATTTCATTATGTATGAGGTAAATTTTTTTTTATTGGAGTTAAAATTAACGTAGATATATGCCGAACCTAACCAACCCTACCTAACCTAACCTAACCTATCTTTATAGGTTAGGTTTGGTTAGGTAGCCGAAAAAGTTAGGTTAGGTTAGGTTAGGTAGGTTAGGTAGTCGAAAAAAAACATTAATTCATGAAAACTTGGCTTATTAGGCAAATCGGGCCTTGCATAGTAGGCTGAGAAGTGTGTTCTGGCTACTAGGTACGACATATATATATATATATATATATATATATATATATATATATATATATATATATATATATATATATATATATATATATATATATATATATATATATATATATATATATATATATATATATATATGTCGTACCTAGTAGCCAGAACTCACTTCTCAGCCTACTATTCAAGGCCCGATTTGCCTAATAAGCCAAGTTTTCCTGAATTAATATATTTACTATAATTTTTTTCTTATGAAATGATAAACCAACCCTTTTCTCTATGTATAAGGTCAATTTTTTTTTATTGGAGTTAAAATTAACGTAGATATATGACCGAACCTAACCAACCCTACCTAACCTAACCTAACCTATATTTATAGGTAAGGTTAGGTTAGGTAGCCAAAAAAAGCTAGGTTAGGTTAGGTTAGGTAGGTTAGGTAGACGAAAAAACATTAATTCATGAAAACTTGGCTTATTAGGCAAATCAGGCCTTGAATAGTAGGCTGAGAAGTGCGTTCTGGCTATTAGGTACGACATATATATATATATATATATATATATATATATATATATATATATATATATATATATATATATATATATATATATATATATATGTGTGTGTGTGTGTGTGTGTATATCACGAAAATAAACACGTGATTAAAAATGTGACAAAGTCAGACCACGGAGGAAAAATGAAACAGGAATATCCATAAGTACTTTCGTATATTAAATAGTACTTTCGTATATTAAATAGACTCCTTCTGAAGATGTATTTAATATACGAAAGTACTTAAGGATATTCCTGTTTCATATATATATATATATATATATATATATATATATATATATATATATATATATATATATATATATATATATATATATATATATATATATATATATATATAATATATATTGTTATGATAATCTCCTTCAAGAGAGATTTGGTCTGCTTTCCTATCATCATGTTACTTCAGTACATTTACAACATCTAGATACTACAATCAAGTGTAGTACATTTTGCCAGGCGCATACGTATCCGACACTCGCTCTCCACCTCCCCCCTTCGTCGATCACCAAACCACCACTTCCAGCCAGCCCGCTTCTGATTGGTGAATCGACATCTGCACCTCTGCCCCTCTGCACTTCAGCGCCATCTACATAGCCGATGACGGAGCCTGTACCAGCCATTGAATTTAGAATATCCTGTGCTCTCAAAGCTGACACAACCATCTGATTTAGCGGACAGAATTTCTGAAATATTCTCACAAATTTACTCCTTGCACATGAGTGGGGTTTTATATTAAATTTATTTAATTGTATCAATCAAACTACAATATTAAACTACATATATTAGTAAATACATTAGGATGTCTTATCTTATGGTACAGTAGGCTTAGTCCAGCAGGTATAAACAAGGATGATGAGACCAAACAATCCTCGTAGTTGAGACTGGCAGCCACCATGTACTGGTGTACCAAGTAACTGTTCTGCATCCTCTTCTACACCTGTCAAAGGGCACTAGCTGTAAAGCAGGAATTATATATATATGACAGCTTTTTCAGATGAAACATTTATATTAAAAGATAAGGACCAAGGAATAATTACCTGGGTTGGGTCGCTGCCTCTCGTGCTAACTGGTTGGCCCTATATGTAACATATCATTAACTGGCCAGAAAAGGACTAGATAAGAAACGGGTTTCGGTATTACACTTCTCTTGTTTAGATGTTGACTGCGTGTTGATGATGGAAGAAGCACTAATTTGATCTCCATAACATTTCTTCCAAGGGAGAATTATAGGAGCTTAACTCGCTTCAGCGACTCCGGTCTTAAACAATGGGTGACCTTTATCCCACTGACGTTCTGACTCTCTTGTCCAAAATTAAATTAATAACATATTACTGTGTCCCACAGGTAACAACATATTATTATGTCCATCAAGTAACAACAAATTTCCGTGTTCCACAAGTAACAACATTACTGTGTCCCACAAAAAATGTGCTGTTGAGTCCCACAAGTAACAACATATTACCGTGTCCTACAAGTAACACCTTATTCCTG